AGGCCGCAGCATCACCTCCCGTCAAAGCGAATCCTGTTGAAGAACAACCTCGCTCTAAACCACACTCGTCACAAGCTCCACGTACAATCTTGAAGAGACCTGAAGGAGTTGCCATTCCCAATCAATGATCGGTCAGCGCCCTATCAACCTCGTCTCCACTTTTGATCACAAAAGCTACTCTCCGAAGGAGTCAGCCCATATATTCCGTTTCCCTATTCTCTTTCCTTCGATGACTTGTAAACATCACAGATTCGAAAATGATTATTCCTACTCATATACATGTATTGAATGAATGTATACGCCAAAGACTAATAGTTTATGTGTGCGCTCTACTCAAACATAACATATATTCCCTTCTTCGTGTGCCTCTATCCTCATCCCACCCTTCTATTTCTTTTGCAAGTTGATTTTTGTTCTTTCTGGGTGTTGATACTGTTTTGTTTTTGGGAGTTGATAATGATGGTTTCAGAAGGAGGGTTTTGAATTTTGTTTTCTTCGGATTAGCTCTGATGATTTCAAACTTGAATGATTGTTTTTTTTTTGATGATATGATGGTATGTTATGGGTGATTGAAGAAGTGAAAATTTCTTTTATTTATTTATTAGAGTGTTTAGTTTCTTGCTTGATTGAGATATGACTATTCTTTGATGGTGTCTGGTGACTTTTTGTAGTCAAAAAACAAAATAGTCTGATGGCCTTTTGCTTTATAAATGCTAGATCCAGTACTGTAAATTTTAGGTGGGAGCATACCTGAGCCACTTTGGTACCAGCACCAGTCCTGAACCTGATTTATTTCAAAGGGCAATTGAATAGAACCTATGTCCTCAAGTTTCTCATGATCCTTTTTGACTACTACTCACAGTGAATGACAATTGTAATTAACTGTACTACTGTTGAGTTGACCTTGATCCCTTGAAAGTCTAAATAGACCAGTATACTTAAGAATCCAAATTCTAATCTCTAGGTTCTGAGTTTGAAGGCTTTTTTTTGGTTTAGGTATAAGTTTTTTGAAATGGGAATCGTTAAACTCACCTAAATCTTGGTATACAATACCAAGGAGAATTTAGAAAAGAAAATAATATATTTGGTGCGAAACCCAAGGCGTAAGCCTAGGGGATAAATTACTTGGATCATAAAACACACGCCCTACGGGGTGGCTGTGGACAACTATAACTAACAACTCGATAAAAAATATACAACTCTGATAACTAAAAGAAATAAAATTTGCGCACAGATAAATTTTTTTTTTAAAAAAATAAGAACAAAATAAAAATTTATATAAAAAGATAAATATGAAAAGAAAAGTACCTAAAGTAAGAAAGATAAAAAATAAGAATGAAAAAACCAATAGAGGACATATGACTACAACTATTCTACCAAATCCCTGAGACTTTGGGAATGGGAGGGAGGGATGAAAAAGTATTATAAAGATAAGACTTGAGTTTAACGATGTTAAGATAAAAGATTTGAGGTAAACAGGAAAAGTCGACGAAAGTAAAGGGAATGGGAAGTTGGAATATGGTGGTCAACAACTATGATGTCATCACTGTTGATCAAAGATAAAGTGAGAAATGTCCGGTCCGTTAGTTACACAAGCATATGTAATTTCCAACATCTTCCCATTCCACTGTGTTAATAACCAGTTACCAACCTCGATTCTTTTTGACCTATCAAAATTTCCACCTGGAAAACTTTAGGAGAGGGTTTGTGTTTCTTTTTTCTTGTCTATCTTCAAGAAGGCTGATTAGGATTTATAATATTGAGAGGGTAAGTAAGAGAAAAAAAAAGATGAAAAATCTTAAATGAGTTTTGAACTTGAACTTGAGATGAATCAGTTGTCTCCCGTGTAAGATTCAAGGGATTTTTTTACAACACTTTTGTACTCAACCCATTGCCTAACCATATGTGAGTAAGTAGAATAAGTTTCAGATATAGACTAATAGAACATTCCATATATGGTCTGGCCTTGCTGATCAACCTGTGTTTTCTAGCTCTCTAGTGGTCTGTCAACTTTCCAGAGTTGTCATTATCCAAACCAACGGTTTGCTCCAAACTCTGTAGATTTCAAGACACTGATCATTCGTTGATATATACTGCCCTTTATAACAATTTCCACACACCAGGTAAAAAGGGGGTCAAGTCAGTTTCGCTCTGATGACATATGATCCAATCTGAATGACAATGATGACACTTGTCATGTAAGCAAATGATCATCAAGGAAACAATCATGATATCAAGGAGATTATACAAAGATCGTATTTCACACATGAAAAAAAGAAACCCAATCGCACATATACAAAAAAAATTCATCATAGTTATGAAACCACAGCTAACACAAAAAGAGCGAAAAGAATCATCGACACAATCCAAGTTGAAGATCAAGTCATTGACATGACAGCTTTCCGTAAAAGCAAGAAAAACAAAAGAAAAACAACTCTCTAATAAACTTTCTCAACGACTGGCGGACCAATACACAAAAGGACCAGTCATCACTAAGAGAGGGGATGTGAGTAGTAAAGGTGGAAAGTATGATGGAACGACCACTTCAGATTACATTGCTGGTTTAAAAGTCTTCATCAAGAGAGAAGAGACCACCTCCGCCTGCTTCTTTGGCGTCAGTTCCATCTTCACCCTTTGATCGAGTCATCACACCAGCCTTGGCATAATCTGAGACTCGCTTTTCAAAGAAATTGGTCTTTCCGGACAATGAGATCATTTCCATGCTGGTCACAGGCCACATAGAAACAAGGTTAGGATGATGCTTATGTCAAGAAGGCTGTTGAAATAACTTACAAGTCAAATGGATTTTCAGCGTTGTAGAATTTTTCATTGCCCAGTGCAACCAATAGACGGTCAGCGACAAACTCAATATACCTGTGGATGGGACGATCAAGTTGGAATTTAATACGAGTGTTTGTAGAGAGTAAAGAGTAAAAATGACTGACTGGCACATCAAATCAGCGTTCATGCCAATCAACTTGCAGGGTAACGCGTCTGACAAGAACTCCTTCTCAATTTCGACTGCTTGTGATATGATGGCTTGTACTGTCTCCGGGTGCGGCCGCCTTTCGAGGTGAGAGAAAAGTAGGCAGGCAAAGTCTGTGTGAAGACCTTCATCGCGAGAAATCAACTCGTTTGAGAATGTTAGACCGGGCATCAATCCACGTTTCTTGAGCCAAAAAATGGATGCAAAGGACCCTACGAAGTGAAATGAATGATGATGTCAGATGTGACGCGAATCGTGATGATGTCATTCAATCTTTAAACAAACCAGAGAAAAAGATCCCCTCAACTGCAGCAAAAGCAATCAAGCGTTCCCCAAAGGTAGATCGCTTGTCAGAAATCCATTTCAGTGCCCAATCGGCCTTTTTACGTATGCAAGGAATAGTATCAATGGCGTCGAAAAGATGTGACCTCTCTATTGGCTCTCGGACGTAAGTGTCAATCAGGAGCGAATAGACCTCCGAATGAATATTCTCCCTACAATCACGCACGGGTAAAAGCGTGTGTTAATCTCAGAGGCGCCCATAAGATGACTCGAGGAAATCGAAATCTTTACGCGTACATCATAATCTGAAAGCCATAGAAACATCGGGCTTCAGCCGCTTGAACCTCTCCACTGAATCTTTCAATCAAGTTTTCGTTGACAATTCCATCTGAAGCAGCGAAGAACGCCAAGACATGTTTGATAAAGTGTTTCTCATCATCGTTCAACCTGTTCTCCCAATCGTGCATATCCTTTGAAAGATCGATCTCTTCAGCTGTCCAAAACGAAGCCTCTGCTCGCTTGTAGGATGCCCAAATCTAGTAGGGCAATCAAAATGTAGGCCATGAGTAAGAGATTGAGACTATGAAGTAAATTGAAAGCTTACTTCGTGATATTTGATTGGGAATAAGACAAATCGATGCCCATCTTCCTTGAGTAAAGGTTCTTCCGCATCACAGGTGATATCGGGATTTCCAACAAATCGAGTTCGATCAATGCTGTCAGATCCGTTAATGTGGTCTACAGTTGATAATTTGTTCTTGATAGCGTCTTTAAGATCAAGAGAATCTAGGGCAGCAGTAGCACTTGAGATGTCGACTGAAGCCATCTTGATAACTGAGTTGGAAAACAAAGGATACGGTCTGGAAAAGGTTGATGATGATATAAGTGAGTAGCTAGATCAGCTTGTTATGAAGACTGATGAAGTCTGATAATGATGAATTCAAAACTGGTGATGAGAAATGAAATGAGAAAAGTGAAGTAGTTGAAGTGAAATTTATTTAAACTCAAAATACGCGTCAAGTTGAAATTCAAAATCAAATTTACAGCCAAAGACCCGATTTCGACTACGCGCTCCGGTACAGTACCGCCATAGAAATTGAATACTGTACCAAAAAAGCTGTGCTCGATCCCCAACTCATTCTCATTGCGTAATGATTTCAAACTACTCGGTCCATCTGAATCGATCATCGATATGACGAGCTGCAATGCGACTATCTCCATCAATTCGCGTCAATAGCTTTGACCCATCTCATTGGTTAAGACCAGGTGCCCAACATCGCCACTCATATCAATCATTAGAGGATTCTCACCCTGCAAGTTATGGCAGCACGTTTGAGAGCTTTTTCATTTGTACATGAAATCACATTGTGTAGCCAGTTGATAATCAAGGAAAACTTGAGATTGATTATTGTACAATTACCATTATGCTGGACATGTCGACCGCTAGGGTTGGGCAGCACGACAGACTTGAGTAGAGAACTGAAGGTGCGCATGCAGTCAAACTGTGAGATTGCAGGTTGAGCACAACTCTGATTTGCGACTATTGGTCATCACCAAACCATTGAATTGATGGTTAGTCACTGTAGGGTTCTTCGTCTGTATCTTACAAAGGGCCACCATTCATGAAATAGAAAAGATCATCGTCTTCAGGATCATAGAATTCAGCCTTCAGATAGCTCTTAGCAAGAAGAAGTGAGGAATACGTTGAGTGAACTTTCGGTGGTCAAAAAAGTACATCCGCCGAGACTCGAACCCGGGTCCTGAGCAGATCCACTTTGGGAAGCTCAGATGATAACCCCTACACCACAGATGTTGTGGTGGTTACTCAGCAATACACGGTATGATACAGCGTAGATACCTGTATTTGAAACCCACCTTACATCTAATGGGACAAAAAGGATGAAACACAAAACTATATCACTAGTGTTAGTGCTGATCTACTATAACAAGAATTTGTGACTATTGCATAGTAGAGAGAAAGAGAAATAAAGTTCTAACCTAGATCACTAGTGTTAGTGCTGATCTACCAAAACAAGAATTTGTGACAAAAGAAAAGTCTAACAGGATCTAGAATAATGTGCTCTCTTATAAAAATAAGTTTCACAAGGCATTACAAATATGATTTCATAAAAGATAAGAGAAACCTTTGCCAATCACAAACTTTTTAAACATTCTATTTGGTCTAAACCAAAAATATGCAAGACTAGGCTAAGTGCCTGGCCATGTCCAATGACCAGCCAGGCCTGGCATCAACAAACAAATGAGGTTTGGGGGTTCCTTTTTGAAATAAGAACAATGATCAGGTATCAGTCTTGTATGAGACTGATGAATGATCAAAAATAAATCCACAATCTAGATGAAGCAGATTGTAAGAAATCTAATAATGAGTTGAATAGAGAACAAGAACAAATGAAAGTACAACAGCTTTTCTAAATATGAGAGTAAATTGAACTCATTATGATCATGTCATGATGTTAGTAAGAAAGTCATCTATTATGTGCATTAATCTAGGTGTGTCCTGCTCTTTCAATTCCAGAGTCTAAAAAGGCCAATCAAGAGGAAATAAGGTGTATGCCCATTTTCCAGGAAGACTGTCCAATTTCAAGAAAACCAAAGCTTTGTATAGATGAGGAAGTTGTAACAGTTCATGGCCCAATAATGGATTGGCAAGACAGATAATGTGAATTTCTAACAGTACATATTGAATAGATTGGTTCAGATTTATAGGATTTGGGACCAAGGCTGGACGGTTTGTCCCCTTTGAGGGCTATTTGGGTTGTACCTGGCCATCTATTGATGTCAAGGCTTGAATATAGGCAGGATGCAACCCAGACAGGCTGTTTGAAAGGTCTGTTAGTGTTTTCTGACATGTGGCTACATTATGTGAACCTAGCTGATGGACTAGCCTCATGAGTCATATTTGTGATGAAATAAGGTGTTGGACATCTCTCAGAGAAAGATCTGATTCAACAGACTGGATTGGATTTTTGAGGGCTTGGTACAGGTGAGATGTAACTACTTGCAGACCCCACTGTGATGGATAAATCTGGCTCACAATAACTCCTCAATTGATCTCCTGATTGATCATTTGCAGTGGAATTAAACCTCTCAAATCTCTGTCACTCCCTCCTCAGAAATCTGAACTTCTCTGTGAGTGTTTCAGTGATTTTGATTACATATGATCATCTTTCTGACTATAAGCAAGGGAATTGGTTGAAGGAAAAAATCCAAGTATCATTTTGTAAAAAGCCTGGTGAGACTTGTGACACCAAGACACACATTTCACAGCTGGACAGTTACTTTTACTTAGAATCCCAGCCAAAAGGAGCTTATCCCCAAACTTAATCAAGTCTCTTGTGAGCTGTACTGGCCAGCTTGGGACTTACACCTAATGTCACAAAAATGGCAAGAGATCTGTTGGGGCTTTTTGGAAAAACACTGTGTCCTTATAAATCATTTTTTGTGATTTCAACTTGCCTTGACATCAATAATGAAACTTGTATATCTTGATCTTCTCTACAATATCTCACTCTTGGTTTCCCCATATTTTGATTGGTTCTAAAGATATACAGAAAGAATGGTATCTTGATTTTACACCAAAAGTCAAATTTTGGACACAGAGCAACACAAATTACTATAATTTTTGACTCTGAGCCTGGAAGGACTTTGCATTTATCTACAGAGACACTCAATATACAAAGAAATAAAGACTGAGAGATTGTATAGGGGATCAAGATGCAATACTTTCCACATTGATGGCAAGGCAAGTTTAAATCATTAAAAACATTTATCAGGACACTGTTTTTTTCTAAAAAGTCCTGACAGATCTCATGCCATTTTTTTGACAATAGGCATAAGTCCCTGGCTGGCCAGTACAGCTGACAAGGAACTTGGTTAAGTTTTCCCTTCTCCCCATCCAACAATCCTCTGAGTACTTGAAGGGAACCCCTTTTAGAGATCCCATTCCATAGTATCTACCGCCAGTCTCAGCATGAAACACACCATAATTATGACCCTAACCCCCTTCTGAGATCCATTGATTCATCTCAGTCATGCCCATGCCTCTTCAAAGTATTTATCATGCAATCATCATACAACCCCCACTGTTACACCCTCAACCCATTCTGATTGAAATAGCCCTCATCAGTCTCAATCCAGCTCTGACATGGACTGACCTCCCTAAATACATGCTCTCCTCACTTCATTTACAGCTTCATTGGCCCCTTTTGGATGGGTTCACACCATTGGATTGAAAAAGTATCTGGTCATGAGGGTACCTATCTATTAGAGAATCTCCAATTGTTGAGTTAACCCACTGCAATAGTTGGATATTTAGCTAAAGATTCCCCAAAATCCACAACAGTGAATCTTTTCAAAAGGGTTCTTCAAATATTCTCTAAAGTTTCTCAAGCCTGGGTTAAATTTAACACCAGCTAACCCAAGGGTTAGTTAACTCAACTCACCTCTCCTCACCACTCAACTCTCACTTGCCCCACTCAACACTTGTTCTGAACCTCAACATTGCCAATTCCTCAACTTTAATTCACCTTCACCAACCACCTCTATGCTGTTCTCCCAAGTCTCCTTCCCTGCTTTTCCCAACCGTTCTCAATAGCTACTATCCCCATTCCTTCTGTCCACCTATTTCCATTGACTTGAACTCAACCTGTAGCACCTCAAACTGCTAACCTTCCATCTTGATTTTTTCAACATCTCAAGATCCTCTGTATATTCCATTCAGTATCTTTTTTTGCTTTTTAATGTAATCTGGCACAATCAGAATGATCAACCATTTAGATTGTGAAAAAGTAATTGCACAAAATGAGAACTTTACTGATCAGTTGACTGATCCAATGGAGCTTTGTTAACCAAGAAGTGTATGTGAGTTGAGCAGATCCAAGTGTGATGATTGATTGGATGAATACACATTATTCATGCATCAAAGAATCACAAAGATAATTGGTTGTGTCATGATCAAGGAAAATATTAGGTTGGGAATAAAGCCAACAATTGTGCACTCAGTCTTTAAATTTGGATTAAATATGATTAACCCCAACTTTAGAGGAAATGATTGTGGGATGTGGGGATATTCAGCTAAATCCAGCTAAAGATCTGTAACTTTAACCTAACTATACCCAAATTTAACGCCAAAAATTGGGAAGGTTCCTAGTGATCAAGAGGGAATGATGTGTTTTTAAAGCAACACCACAATCCAGGTGTGTAAGCTGTGTACAAAAGGGTGCAGACACTTCCGCACAAGAGGGAATTTGTCAAGTCAAGTTATACCTTACTCCCATGTGGCAGCTGGGCTCCAATTGTCTAGCACCTGTTTGGATCATCCTACATGACTTTGACTTTGTATGAAATTTTGACCGTGTGACTAACCTGTAATAATTAGAGCATATCCTAGAGTTGCTATGAATGTCTCTGACTCTGTAGTTATAGTGTGATCAAGGGGGGTCAAGTCAGATTTTTTGCTGCTTTGAGCGTAAAAAACCTTTTTGAGCAACAAATTTGCGTAAATTGGCTGCTCACCAAAAGATCTGCAAAGTGTGTGATTGAAGAAAATTGATTTTACCACTGAGATTTGAGAAAGTTGAAAACTTTGTCTTGGCACAAGTCAAGGTTTTTATGGTACTTTTTCACAAATTGAGAAAAGTCTTTACAACACAGTACCATAAGAAATTTCCCCCAATTTTTTAACAAAACACCATAAAAGTCTTGACCTGAGCCTCCTTGATTATACAAAAATTTCACAAAACATTACGCCAACAAAGTTTTGCTACAAAACTTTGAGCATCAAATTATGGCAACACGATCTTTGCCACTGTACAGATGGATGTACAGAGAAGAGCTGGCAATCATTTCTGGGCAAAATGAAATTCAAAGCTATAAATTGAAGTGCTTTATCTGCCCAGAAGTAATCTCTTTTCTTTTGTCTCATTAAGATATGAAAGTACTTGTAGAGCTGATTACCAGTGATCTTCATTTGGCTTCTGTAAAAATGGAGATAGATGATTTCCAGGAAAAGAAATATCAGGTCAAGAACATTGAGCAACCCATAGAAGACCCTCAAGGAGACTTGAGTATGGGTGTGGAAGTTTACCATTCCTGGGGAATGGAACAAGTAATTTGAAAAATTGGGTTGTTGGTGTTTTGCAAGGTTTGAAATCTGATGGAAGGAATGTTTCACACAGGTTGTCATTGTAATGTGATTGAGAGATTTATGTGGTTCCTTCAGATTGACAAGTGATTTGAAGTGATAAGAAATGGAAGAGAGGTTCATCTTTTGAGATCTCAAAATGCTTGGGAAGAGAACTGGCCAGGAAAGAAATGAAATCATCTGTTCCTGTAATTGATAAGTCATCAACATGCACAGGAGTCAAACCTAACAATCCATTCTTTTTCTGGAAATACAGAGATGGATTGTGAAATGATCAAGTGAGTACAGTAGAAAGCAGAAACTCATGAAGAGTTTCATTCCATGCTCAAGGGGATTGTTTCAGACAATACAAGGATTGCAAAATTTCACACACCCTTTCAGGTTTGTTGGGATCAATGAAGCCTTTGGATGATTCCATATAGATATTCTCATCAACACTACCAATCAGAAAAGCAGGTTTAATATTGATACATCTGGCCATCCTAACATTTTGTGCCATGATACTGATAAGTATGCCAAGGGACTCCTGATTACTATTCAATATGGATTCCTCATAGCTGTGCAATTGAATGAGAGATGTGGAGAATCATTGTGCCATGATACTGATAAGTATGCCAAGGGACTCCTGATTACTATTCAATATGAATTCC